CCCCCCCCCCCCCCGGTCCCCTTCTCCCCTCTGCCCTCCGCCTTCAACCCTCCTCCTTCCCTATCAAACTCCCCCTCTCCCCCTCCTCCTCTCCCCCTCTCCCCTCCCCCTTTCGCGCTTTCCCCTCCCCCTTTCCCCCTTTCCCCCTGCCCCTTAAGCGCGGTCGCGGAAGATGAAAAATGCCTGATCTAAATACGATTAACGTGGCCGATCATTTTCTTACTTTGTGGTCGCCTTATGGTAGTTTTGTTCTTAAAGAATTCGTATTGTTATCACTTAAGTTAACGTGATTTCGACTCGTTCTCTTGCGCAGTGAAATCATCGTTCCAAGAAATGAATGGATTCACGTAGCAATGAGTTGGAAACGCGGGTCCAGTGGAAAACTTAAACTGTATGCAAACGGAGAGAAAAAATTTGAAACTGCCGTTGATGGAAATGTAAATCTCGATTTTAGGAATTCAGGGCGTTCAGTTTACAACATTGGCTTAAGAATAGACACTGGAGATACAATCCAGGCCTACCTAAGTGATCTGGTGATCTTTAATCGCGAGCTTCCAGAACACGAACTTATGGAGGAGTGGGTTCAGAGTCACGCACTTTACAATACTCTCTTTTCTTGATTAAACGTGAGAAGCACCAGAAAAATGGGAATACTCAGCATACTTTCCAGGTGTTCTGTTTGCCCATTCGATCTGCAACAGCATTTTATCGCCCAAATGGCCCACACACATCCTGCACTCCACGCTGACCCACAAAATAAGGAGCCCGCATAGGACCTAGGATGAGGGCTCCTGAACAAGACAGCCCCTAGAGGAGGGGTTCTCTCTATGGTGGACTAAGCAGGGAGGCTTCACCTGAAAGGCTTCCTTTTTCAGACTGGCGGTGAATGAAGAGTCTCATAGAGATAATTGGCCATTTAATTGTGGCTAAAATTAAATTTGCAGCACACGTACCGACTACAAATTTCACGACCTCTATTTTATGTAAAAATGCTTTGGGTCAGACAATCTTTACCGAGCACTCTAATTCCATATCTGGGCAAATAAGTAAACTTCGCACTATGTAATTACAGTATCAATAAAAATTTTAAAAAATTGGCAAAAAAATTTTCTTCTAATCATTGTTGTTGTAACGGGTAGCAGAAGTACATTACATCATGGCGAAAGACGAAAAATCTTATGGTCTCATGCCCTTAAACACGGTCGCCTAAGATAGAAAGAAGTATTTGTTAACCGAAGTTTAAGTCCGTTGTTATTTTGAACAAATCCAACCTTATCTTGTGACCTTCATTAGACTTATTTTCTCGCAGAAAGCAGCGGGGAGGATATCACGTTCATTGACTAAAGCTTCTACAAGCAATAGGGTCTTCAAGACGCTTCAATAACTCCAAAATAAGTGCGATGATCCCTTGGTTTATTCAGTGCGCTCCTAAGATGAGATGTTCGTTATCTAATTACAGCGAAAGTTTCAAAACATTTAAACATGCGAAGATTTGGGTGGAACTTTCGTAATGGTGCGTAATAGCCAGATAGCCAGATTCCTCCTAGATCGCCTAGACGATGTAAATCCGAGGTGATATCCTACCTTTTTACACTAGTAAGCAGATTATTGAATCTTTTGTACTTGTAAATTGACAACCGAAACAAACTATGCCTGCGAAACGAAGTTCAAATGACTTTGCCGTTTTGAATAAAAATTTATGAAATCTTGGTTAACGGGGAGGAAAACACTGACAAGTAAAAAGTGAAAATTCAAAATGCACTTAGGTCAGCTGGAAATTCATCTGACAAGTTAAGTTCACAACAAATACGACAAACTACAACTTTACCCGTACAGTACAATTGAAACACCAGACTTGTTGATTGTTAGTCAAATTTTCATTCCTTCCTTGACTTAAGACCTGTTGACGGCCGATCGACAAAATTCTTTTCTTTTTTTTTTTGTTGATGTTAGAAGAATCACTTTTGCGAGTTCAAACTCTACCTCTTCACTTTTCAGTCGGCACTATCCTTTTAGCTATCGACTAGTCCGTCCCCCAAACAATCTTTTATTGTCTGCCATGGCCATGTCAACAAAAGGCTTTTTTCCCATCGCTCTCTCTCTTTGTTAACCGTAAGTCTAGCTGTCTGGTTTGACAAATATAAAAAAGAATAATTTGAATTGTCGTAATCTGACTCACTTTCCCGGAGCCAAAATCCAGCTAAGTCGGTTCAAATCTGCTCGAGGGCCTTTATGAAGCCAGCAAACGAATTGAAAGAGAAAACGTTCCTTAGTTTTACGTTATTTTTTCGGGAAAAGAAATAAGGAATTAATCAGTGGCAGGTGTGTCACGTTTACAACAAGAAATAATTTTATTCAAATGAGTACTCGCATTTTTCAAGGAAACTTGCTGGAATCTGGGTTAACAATGACAAACGCTGTAAACTCAGCTTAAGTAAAACAAATAACATTTACCCAGGCAATGAAGTCAAAATACAGGCTATTTAACCGTAGAGATGTGCTCAACAAAAATCCACAACAAAAACTTCACCCGTAAAGTCAAATTCGCACACCTGATGTGTCGCCTTTTCAAGTTTAAATGGTTTACACAAACTGTACTTTCCTTTTGAAACGTAGCGACTGTAGTTGGCCAATATATCGCTTCTTTCGTCCCGTTGTTTGCCGTAACAGTGATTAATTCCGTGAGTTCAAACTCTCCCGTTTTCCTAAACGGTTGCATTTTCTTGTTGGTATCGTTTTCGTCATCCCAATAAAATTCTTCGTTTGCCATCGACCGTCGATGAAGGTTTCCAGGGCTTTGAGGGAACGTGGGGACATCATTTATTTCAAGGGACCAAGGGATATTTATAGATTAATTTGAGGAAACAAGGGATATCTTTACAATTAAACGTAACTTTGACAAAACATTTTAGGGAAAAATGACATTTTTTAATGGGGAAGAAGAAAGAAAAAGTGACATTTACCAGGGATCTAGGGAAAATGCTCGTCTCACGATAGGAAAGGAAACATTTTATTGGGCTGGCCTTTAGAAAAAGCAAATTACTGTTTTAAATTAATATTGGAAATTCCACTGCTAAGGTTTCTTCCCACCCTTCGGAAAAAAATTCGTACGCGCGCCAGTTGGCGAAAATTTCCCCTCGCGGTTTCGTCTTTTTAAGCGATTATGACACCTTCCTGGTTCATTAACTTTATTTGAAAATACGTTTTTTTCTAAATAATTCGGCCGCTTTTTGCGATTTTTAATATTTTTGTTTTGTAAACTTAAGATGAAATGACTGACTTAAATTTTGTCAAATGAAAGGAAGGTGAAGGTGGGAAGTAACCTTCAGCTATTCATTACCTGTCTCTCCTGGTCACGGTATTGTGAGCTGACTGGTGCCCATGGTCAGTACTTGTTACATTAATTAACTTTTTTTGTGTTGTTTCCCAACATCACAATGTACCAAAACGCTTTGAGACTTCAACCTATATCCAAATTCGGTTTCAGTATCAATCTTTAAGCAATGGCAAGATTTCTGGTTACTTTTTCTTGATAATTATTTCTTGTTTCTCGAATTGTCTTTGTAATTAACTCGTTTTGGTCGATGGGACAATTACCAGAGAATAATTAGTTGACGCATGAAAGAAAATGATTGGGTCATTCCACCCTTAACTCGCCTCTATGGTGTGGTTCACAATTCTAATTGGTTTTGTGCCATGTGGCGTGGTTTCTATTATTTATGGCCAGTTTTAAAAACCTCGACTTTTAACCACTAAAGGGGATTTTCATCACGGCGTCCCGCTGATCAGGATATCAAAACCAGTCGGTAAGTTTTAGTACAGACCTCATCACGTAACGTAATGTTAACAAAAGTATATTGCTTAAACACTGAGACAAAATTGTACACATGTAAGCTACATCAGTATGACAAAATGTGATAAAAACCACTTTAAATACGAGCAGTAGACGACGAAAAAAGTTGGAATAAACGGTTGAAATTGTAAGTTATAGTTTTAGGGGACATGAAATGGCACGCAGTACATTTTCTGATATTAGTCAAGTTAACGTTGACAGTGGTTGTAGACAATTTTTGATACAAAATCAAGTCATGAACGAATAAGTTCTGAGTTTAAAATACACTTATTTGAATCAATCATCTACTGGATTGGTGTTTGTACATGTGTTTAACCCTTCCTTTTGTAGCCATTGATTCGATTTCTAAATATGTTTTAAGTTTTGACTGTTATTCTAATTTGATTCCCTTCCAAGCAAGAAAAGAGTTCTTACCGAAATTTCGAGTCTAACTCCCTCTTTCCTTGGAGCAGTTTTAAGTTCATCCTTTTTCACTGGTATCCAGTGTCAAGGAAATAGATCAATTTTTTCAATAGTGTCAGTTTTCAACTAGGCATTGCTTTCTTTTGTCAGCTTTCAACAGAAAACCCGCTGTAGTAAGCAATATCAGTTAACCTATGGTATTGTGCCATGTCTTGTATTTCTGCCACCTTAGAAAAAAAGCTGTGAGACAAGAGGAACAAGATGTTGAGAAAAGCGATCATTGTACAGGCTCTGGTATTAACATTGCAGATATTTCTGCCTTGCATTGTGCACGGATCACGGTCTTACGGGTAAGAGGCATTATCACAAGCTATCAAAGTATAGGTCAAACCAGGTGTATTTCCTAACTTCTCATAATTAATTTCTCATAATTGCTCGTGATTTCAAATAGGCCTTGCGCTTCGCGCTCGTCCGATTTTGAAATTACTCGTGTGATTACTCCCTGAATTGTACTTATTATTATTATTATTATTATTATTATTATTATTATTATTAAAGGTCATTCCAAAGAAATAATACTGTAACATTACTTATTATGGAGGGAGCACTCGGAAATAAGAACTTAGAACTACGTTTTGTAGTTTTGTAGTAACAAGTACGTTTTGTAATGTTATGAAGAATCTAGCTCTGTTACACCTCCTACGACTGGGAAGCAATTTCCCCTTTGCCTTAACTGTTAGAATGT